TTTCCACAGACTACGGTGCACGATAGACCTCTTGTCCTACAGATGTGAATGTTAGAGCTGAGGGAAAGTTTTATTTGCCTTAAAGGTCATACATATAAGGATTAGACTCCATCTCTGTCCACCACAGGCTACTTCTTTCCACCATTGGAATACGGCCCAAATTCCTCAGCGTGGTTTTCAAAACCCTTCCCCGCCTGGCCTCCTGTCCGTCTCTGCCTGGAATGTCTCTTCCTCAGACACTAGCGCTGTGCTTCCCCCTCAGATTCACTACCCCCCCCTTACCCTGCCCTCACTTTCAAATTCTTTCCATTCTGCAAATCCCAAGTCAAGCTAATGTCTTTTCCTCCCACCGAGCCGGAGGTATGCTTCGCCTCTGACCGCATCGTTGTCTCGTGCTGTAACTATGTAGATGGCTGCAGAGTCCATAAACCATGAGCATTCTTTAGAGAGGAACTTTCTGTTCGGTTTCTAGGGTACGCAGTACTCACTGCTTGAATATAAGGTGTGGTCCTCCTAACCTTCTACTGGGGTGAATATATAGATTTCCTGGGCATTCTGGATAAAAGTAATCAAAACCACAAACTTGCGAACTGCTTTAAAAAAAAAAAATTATCGTCTCTAATTCTCCAGATAATACATCCAGGCATGATGGCAAATGGTTGTAATCCCAGCATTTGGAAAGCTGAACCAGGAAGATTGTGAGTTTGAGGCCAGCCAGAAAGACCTAACTAGTGAGACCCTAGTATAGGAATGCCTAGGGGTGCTGCTGGTGGTGTGAGCTCTGCATAGTGTCTTACTGTACTGCCCAAGCGAGTCTCAAGCGTCCCTGCCTCAGCCTCGAAGACAGCTGGGACTATGGACTTGTACTGCCGCGTCTGGTTCTCCGTTTCCTTTTTTACGAATGGCGTTGAGAACATACTTTGTTTATATTTTTCTTCCTTTATCCACAATGGTTCACTGTGAAAGGACTGACAGCATTTTTATTCACACTCACATTGGAAGCAGAATTTTTCCAAATGTTGTCTTAAAGTGTTGGTCAACATTTCCTAAATTTGGCTTGAAGGGCGACTGCTGTGGTTTCCGGTCTTGACACTCAGCTGAATTACATGTCACTCACTCCCTTGCCTTTTTCTCGTCAGAGAAAATGCTGACAATGCTTCGTGGGCCTGTCAACTTCTAAGCTGGGAAGCGAAGACCCACGTGTGTCACATCTGCCACCTGGTATACTCAGGTTGAGGCCATATGAGTGAGAAACATACATGTTCAACGCTTTCACACTTACTGTTGACTTATTCTGTATGAGTGTCATTTTCTCTTCACCCTATTCATCCTATTGTCATGATTTTTTTTTTTTAAAATCTAAGTTTGAGGAAAAAACACAAGCTTTAAGTGGTAGAGACAAGTGTACCTGAATATATGTCTCTCTTGCACGTAGGCTTGTTTCATTGCTGTGTACAATGCTACCTTCTAGCATGAGAATTAAGTCATCAAAAACAAACCTGTTATTTTCAGAGAAGGCTTTGATAGGGAGGACAGCACACTACCTGTGGGGATGGAGGGTGGCCTCTGAAGGTGATCTGAGTGCTTAGTCCAGCACACTGTATTCTGCCATTCTTATGGCTGATGAGAACAGTTCTAACGATTCCATTACAGATCAGTCCTGCTCTGTGGTTGTCAAGAGAACAGCTGTTTAATCTGTGTTTGTTTTTTTTTTCCTATTCAAATAAGGAAGTATTGACTTGTTTCTGATCTCACCTCTTCTGGTCAAAGGTTAGAACTCCTTTGGTAATTACTAGGGCAAGAAAACCCCACCTCTAGGTTAGGTTAGCAAGTGGGAACTGAGTGGTGTCAGGGGTACACTTTGTGTGTTCTACAGCTTGAAGGGATTCCAGAAAGAAATCCCTTAAGTGTAGAGGATTTACCCTCTTAATTTAAATATGTACTTTACCCAGTCATTTAAAAGGCCTTATAATTATAAGAGCCAATGGTAGTACATTACACTTAAAATAGTCTTCACAATATTAAAGTATGTCTAATATTTAAAATATATTATCTCTTTAAATCTGCAGTAAAGGGGCTGGAAAGATGGCTCAGTGGTTAAGAGCACTGGCTGCTCTTCCAGAGGTCCTAAGTTCAATTCCCAGCAACCACATGGTTGCTCGTAACCATCTGTAATGGGATCCAATGCCCTCTTCTGGTGTGTCTGAGGACAGCTACAGCGTACTCACCTACATAAAATAAATAATTCTTTAAAAAAAATCTACAGTAAAATTTTAGAAAGACAAATGTTATCCTTGTTTTTCATTTGAAGATGCTAAAGCTAAAGAGATTATGTAAGTTGAAACATTGTCACAGTTACATGACTGGATACAATGTATCATGATCATACTTACCAAGTCACTCTTCCTCATCCCCCAACTCCTACTGGGCCTCTGCTTCTTCCCAATCAGATCCTATCCTGGTTTGTATCTTATTAATCAATGGATCAATCAGCTTTTCTTTGGCTGTATTGGGAAGGGGCATGTGCATGCCAGTAGCCTGCTTGTGGTGGGCAGGGGACAACTTTGGGAAGTGGTCTCTCTCTTTCTATCATGTGGGTCCCAGGGATAGCACTGAGGTGGTCAGGCTTGGTGGCAAGTGTCTTTACCTACTTAATCACCTCCCCAGTTCCATGTCCTTTCTTTTGGTGTGTAGGTCTTATTCAGGTGACCACAGCTTCTGTGTGCTCATGATTTTGAGAGTCATTACATCCAGAAGACGGTGCGTTTCGTGGCACTGCTGTCTGACCTATGGCTCTTACACACTGCGCCTCCTCTTGCAGGATCCCGTCTAGGGCTGAGGACTGCACTCCGGACTCGCTTATCCTCAACACTCTGACAAGTCTCTGCTTTAACCATTGTAAATAGAAGATGCTCTGACCCAGATCGATACCAGCACTGCTCTGTGGCAGTTCATCAACTTGTCCAGTTAGCAACACACCAGTAGTACCTTCTCTCCAGGGCCCAGCCATAGGCTTTTGGCCAAGTTTATAACATACATGCATTCCTTCCTATGGAGCAGGCCTCAGATCCAATCGGGAAGTGATTGGTTAACCCACCCCCACCAAACAGTCTTGCCCTGTAGCACTGGTGGATATATCCTGCCTGGCAGGTTGGTATTGTAGCACACAGGCTCCATAGCCTGGTAAGACAGTTGATGACATTTCTCTTCCAGCGTTCTGCAAAGCCCCTTCCAGAACTATGAATGCCAGCCAGCAGGGAGGCAGCTTCCACTCAGTTCTACCTTGATTTCTGTGACCTGCATCCAAAGTGTATGGTATCTTCAGCAATAGGGTATTGGTTAGTTCAAGTGGGAACCGAGGGCAGCGGTAATAGCCTGTGTTGTTTTGGGTGCTTCTGGGGACTCCCTAACCATTACTTCTAGGGATGTAGTCAGTACCTGCACTGGGGCTTTCATTTAAAACCTATGGCTTCCTGGGGCTGGACAGATGGCTCAGAGGTTAAGAGTGCTAGCTGCTCTTGCAGAGGACCCAGGTTCGATTCCTAACACCAACATGGCAGCTCACATCTGTCTGGAACTTCAGTTCCAGCTCTGATGTCTTGTTCTGGTCTCCACAGGCAGCAGGCATATACATGGTGCACAGACATACATGAAGGCAAAGTAACCACTCATGCACATAAAATAAAAATTAAAAACAAAGCAAAACAAAACCCTATGTCTTCTGAGACCAGCATTGCTCACCCATGCAGGGTACCTCCACTCAAGCTACTATCATCATATTGCTTAGTTTCTGAAGTAGCAGGCTCCCCCTTTTGGTTGACACTCTTCATCACCCCCACATTTCCTTTCTGCAGCCCATCACCGGTTAAACCTTTCTACCTGTGGTATTCCTCAACATTACTTCCATGTTCCATGCGTCTTACTTACTGTCCGCCCACCAAAGACTTCCGGCACCACACACTCACGCGGAACTCTCATGACCCCTTCTTGATCCCTGGCTTCCCTAGGCACGCACTCCAACTTAAACACAGAAATCTAAACATGTCAAGCTACAGTCTACCTATGAGAGGGAACAGAGTTTCTTCCTTAGGGCCCGGGTTGCCACACTCAAGTCTGATGGTTTTCTTCTTAAGACTCTACCAATTTAAAGTATTTTGTAGGGGCTGGAGAGATGGCTCAGTGGTTAAGAGCACTGACTGCTCTTCCAGAGGTTCTGAGTTCAAATCCCAGCAACCACATGGTGGCTCACAACCATCTATAATGAGATTGGATGCCCTATTCTGGTGTGTCCGAAGACAGCGACAGTGTACTCATAAATAAAATAAATAAATAAATCTTTAAAGTATTTTGTATTTGTCTATTTTGCAGTGCTGGGGCCCAGAGCTTTGCCCATGCTAGGCACGCTCTCACTACTAAGCAGAATCCCAGCCCCAGATAGAATCAGTTCAAAGTAACAGACTTGCAGTACCTCCAGAGCTAGCTCTTTCTCTTATGCCATGCAACCTCCCCTGTTCTCTCCTGAGTAACAGTGATCAGTGTTCCTGTGCGTAGGGAGAGACAGTAGGGGAAAAAAGAAGGAAGGAAGGAACAAAGAAAGGAGAGACAGAGACCTGAAACCCTGTGGACTCGGCAGAGCCTAGTTTGGGCTTTACTCTGAGATGCTGATTCTATCTCTCCCAGGATGTTATTCCAAAGAGGGGATGATTTCACTCCAAATGTGACTTTGGAACCAACTTAAGTTCAGAAAAAGGCCAACTGATGCTTGCACAGTGGGGTCAGTGATAAAATGATGGAATTGGAATGGGACCTCAGAGATCATCTGTTGTGACCTCCTTTTACAGTAAACTGTACCCCAAGGATCCTGACTCAACTGACAGAGGTCACATGAACGTGGGGAAAGCAGCAGAGGAGTGAGATCTGTTGATCTGGGCTCTTGCTTGGCTCACAGGGCTGCCCATCCCTGAGTGCCGGGATCCTAAACATTCTCTCCCTTTCTCCAGCCTACAGGTGTCTCAGCCTCTGTAGACAAGATGGAATCGACTCCGTTTAACAGACGACAGTGGACCTCCCTATCACTGAGAGTGACAGCCAGAGAACTCTCTCTTGTCAACAAGAACAAGTCATCAGCAATTGTGGAAATATTCTCCAAGTAAGTGCTGGTCTTGGTCCGAAAGGACTGTCTGTCTTGAGCAGATTTACCACCTGTCAGGAAAATCGGTGAAGTGACGTCAAATGGCTGGATGGGCACCCCTGGAGTTTCCGCACCCTACAGGCTGCTATAGAGGAAAGAACGTCCCGATCAGAAGGCACCTCCTCTGTCTTTGAGTTTTTATTTAACTGAGGGAAAGAGAAAGTTATAAACACAAAAGATACATGTAAGAGACAGGAATGGTGGAGCACAACTTTAATCCCAGCACTTGGGAGGCAGAGGCAGGGGGATCTCTGTGAGTTCCAGGCCAGCCTGGTCTACAGTATCCAGGACAACCAGAACTGTTGCACAGAGAAACCCTGTCTAGAAAAGCAAAAAAAAAAAGATACTTATAAAGCAAACTGTGACCAAATCCAAAGGCATGGAACGAGGTTCCGAGGAGAGTCTGTCATGGGCAGGAGCCATCTTGGAGTGTGCTTTGTTTTGCTTTGTTCATTCCTTGGCTTGTTTGTTTATATTGAGACAGGCTCTCCTGTAGCCCAGGCTGGCCTTGTACCCACTGTAGCTGAAAATGATTTTGAGCTCTGAAACCTCTAACCTTTGCCTCCAACATCCTGGGATTACAGGGATGAGCCACCAAGCTCATTTTTGGTTTTGTTTTATAGGATTTCCCCCCTTCCTACTCTGTAGCCCAGGTTGAGGATCCAGAACTCACTATGTATCCCAGACTGGGCTTCAACCCATGAGCAAAGCTCTTGACTCAGCCTCCTGAATGCTGCATTTTTGGTGTAAACCACCATTCTCTGTGAAAAAAAAAAAAAGTATAACTTTTATTTTTCAGTGCTAAAGGTCATGCCCAGAGCTTTGTACATGCTAGCTGTGTGCTCCATCCCTGAGTTACATTCCCCACCTGTAAGAGTTGAAATACCATTTAAAATTCAGGGTATCAGTTATACTTGTAGCATTTCAAGGGTCTGATAGTAGGGTTTAGCAAATAAGGGTATAGTGAAACACAGGTATTCATTTGTAGGTTGCCTTTGCTTTCACGCTAAGCCAACAGAGACACTGGATTGACAGAGACCGTTATCTCAAAAGTCTAAAATATATTTCCCATCTGACCATTTAAGAAAATGAGAAAACATTTGGCTTCCAGGTATGGCAGCCAGCACTGGGGAGGCAGGGGCAAGTGGATCTTTGAGTTTGAGGCTAGCCTGGTCTACAGAGTGAGTTCTGGGATAGCCAGGGCTACGTTGAGAAAAAAAGCGTTTGGTACCCCCTCCACTGGCCTTCAACTTGAGGACCTTCCTGCACTCTCTGCATCTGTATGTCTAGTGACAAGCACAGTGTCTGGGACACACACAGGCAAAAGGAATGATTAGCACACCAGAGAGAGCAGAGACACGCCAGTGGGGCAGAGGCCAGCACAGGTGGTTGTTGTGTGTAGCTTCTGCTACCCCTCTCTAAGCTCTGGGAGCGGGTCATGCAACCGACCCCCCCGCCAAGATTCCCTTGGGTCTCCGTATCAAAAATTATTGGCTCAATTTCTGTGCGCCTACCATCTACCGCGGCTAGCGTGCCCTCCCCAGTACTCTCAGCTCATCACCTCTCAATCAGCCCTAACTTCAGCTGCCCGGTTACCTTAGTCCCAGCTTAACAATCCCAGCCTCCTACCTGGAGACGCGGTCGGTCGTCGACCGCTCCTCTCGCAAGGCTGGTTGGCTTTTCTCCCTCTGAAGCATGGAGGGAAAACTCCTTTCTTCTCTCCGTGCTTCTGGTAGCTTGCCTGCGGGGACCCGGAAGTCCTGCCTATTCTGCCTTGCTTATTGGCCGCTAGCATCTTTATTGATGGATCAAGAACCAATTGGGGAACAGGGCCTTCATGTCAGACCCATCCCTACAGGTGGTAGGCTCACCATGATAGTGAGTCCATTACCAGGAAGCTGCTGCCCTTAATGAAAAGAGAGTAAAAATGTGAAGACAGCGATTCTAAGAACTGTATCTAGGATGTCGTTAAATACTAGCAGGAAGTTTCTCTAACCCACAGTGTCCCCTTTTCTTTGATAACAAATTCCTTGTGTACTTGCTATGCGGTCTTCAGTTATCTGCCAGATTGGGGTGCAGAGAGGACTAGAGTCAGTCTGTCCGTACTGTCTCATATTGTATTCTCTCTTGTTGCAATTTTCTGTCAGAAACTCACATGAGAAAAAAAAAATTCACTACAGAGAAGACATTAGAAGATGAAAGCTGTTGTCTTAATACCAGACTTCAGAGACTTGACAGTTTACTTTAGGCCTACCAACTTTCCAGATCTAAAGATTTGTGAGGGGCTGGCTGATAAATGGCTCAGCAGGTAAAAAAGCTCTTGTCAACCACCCTGATGATTTAAGTTCAAAATCCAGGACCCTGGATAGTGAAAGAAGAAAGCCAACTCCTGAAGGCCATGGCATGTGTGCACCTACACACATTCACACGGACACACATTCACACACATATACACATTCATTCACACAGACACATACACATTCACATACACACTCACACACAGAGAAAACAAAAGAAATACAATTTTAAACTTTTCAAAAGAATGACTCATTAGAGTAGTTATTAATGATACAGTGTCCCAGTTCTGTTTTTTTAAAGCCTTGACATACACGGTAGTGGGTGCCTACACTCCCACACCCAGGGAGCTGAGGCAGAAGGATCACTACTTTGAGGCCAATGTTAGCTATATAGTTTAGTGATAATTCTGGAGTTTTGGTTTCTCTTAAAAAAACACAAAAATATTATAAGAATACGTTTCTTTTTTAATCCCAGGTGTGGGGATATGGGGCCACTTGGACTGCCTGCAGCAGATGACTGTGATTTGTCTCATACTCTAGCAGAGGTGTGGTTTTACCAGCTGTAGATAATTCCTGTGGTTGTATGACATTTGGAATTCAGAGAGTACATAAATGCTACGATCTAGATAGGCAGGCTGGGTTGGTTGGTCAGGGGAGTTTGTTACAATTTGTTAGTAGAAGAAAGAAAAGGAAAGGAATTAGATTCAGGGATCTCTGACTCTCTCTCTCCATCTCCCTCCCTCTCTTTCTCCTCTATCTTTTCTCTCCTATCTAGTCATAAAAGGGGGTGGGGCTAGAGGGTGGGAAGAAGAAGAACCCACAATATAGCAAAGACCAGCTACAGTATAGCAAGACTCATTCTCAAAATCCAAAATTCATGGCCTAGTGTCAGAGATTTGTAACTCCGAGTATTTGGGAGTCTGAGGCAGGAGGATTGCAACTTCATGGTCTATCAGGGTTACAAAGTGAGTTTAAGACCAATTTGAACAGCTTGTTGAGAGCACGATGATGCAGACCTGTAATCCCAGCAGCTGGGAGACAGACAGGAGGATCTTGGCAAGCCCCAAGACCAGTCTGGGTTTACATAAAGAATTCCAGAACAGGAGCTAGGGAGACGCCTCAATTGTTAAGAGCACTGGCTGCTCTTCCAGAGGATCTGAGTTCAAATCTCAACACCTACTTGGCAGCTCACAATGATGTGTAACTCTAGTTCCAGGTCGACACTCTCTATTGACCTCTACCTATACCAGGCACACACACCGTCCACAGACATATGTAGACAAAAACACCCATACATATAAAATAAAATAAATTTAAAAATAAAAAGAATTCCAGACCAGCGGGTACCTCATCCATCTAGGGCTGAACTCAACAGTGCAAGCTGGCCTATCACACCCAGCCAGCCTCAGTAAATCTCTAAAACTGAGAGGCATGAAGCAATGGGTGACAGTGTTTGGTTTGTAACTATCTGATTTGGGCTTGTCTCTTCTCAACTTAGCATCAGCTGGGCGGCTCACAGGCTGGGGGCCTCAGACATCTGAAAACTCACTCCTTCACTCACAAATCAGGAAGTTGTCTGGGATCTCAGTGGGAGCCAGGGCTGGAACACCTCCGCAGGGCTAGTCCATGTGACTGCTTGGCTCGGTGGCTGGCTTCCAAAGGCAAATGACTGGAAGGGAGGGAGAGGAAGGGGGAGGAGCCAGAAGCTCTATGCCTGCTCCTGACCGTGGGCTTGGAAGCCATCGATTCTTGGTGGCCTTAGTCTCAGATGCAAATCACTTAAGGCTGGCTCCCATTCTGGAGGAAGGGGGTGGAATTTGGCTCCACCTTCTGGTGGGAGAAATATCAAAAATATTTCGGACCTTTTTCTTTTCTTTTTTTTTTTTTTTTTTTTGAGACAGGGTCTTAGACCTCATTATGAAACTAGGCTGAACACCTAGTTTCCCATCTCTGCTCAACAGATGCTAAGGTACCACCCTGTCTGGCACTTGTCTTCTTTAAGTCCTAGGGATTGAACCCCAGAAGGTCATGTATTCCAGGCAAACATTCCACCACTCAGCTGCAACCTCAGTTCCCTTGAACATGTTTTTAAACCATCTTCTGGCTGGGCGGTGGTGGCACACGCCTTTACTCCCAGCACTTGGGAGGCAGAGACAGGCTTTTGTGTGTCTGCAGTGGGACCCAGCTGTCTCAGGGGACTTTTTGTTTGTTTGTTTGTTTTGCTTTGTTTTGTTTAAACAAACTCTCTTCCAGCTCAGGCCGGCCTTGAACTTGGCTCTGTAGCTGAGGATAACCTTGAACTTCTGCCTCTACCTCTTAACCTAAGTGTTTTGTTTTTTTATCCTCAGGGAGATTGGGAGAGGAGGTGGGTTTGCGGAATGAAAGTTGAGGGTAGAGGAAAGGGCACAAGGAAAGGCATGGAGAGCAGACTCACAAGACAGAGGGATAGGACAGCGAGTGCTCACAGTTCAGTTAGGCCAGATGGTAAGCGTGAACGGCTGTGGCTGGGTTTAGTTGGGTTAACAGCAAGATGCAATGGGAAGTTTTCCTGCAGGGAGACGACTGACAAGATGAGACTTGTGCTTTCCTGAGGTGCTTCTGGCAACAGCACGAAGGTTGATTGGCACAGTGAGAGGTTGGAGAGATTAATGGGCTTTCATG